CTTGGACTTGTGTTTTGTGAAATTTAGGGTAATCTTCCAATTCCTAAAGGGGTGATTACGTAACAGCTATGCTGTTCCTTACCAGCCCCTAGAGTTTGAACAACCTCTCTGACATCTAATCTTTTTTTTTCTTCCAGATGATTATACTATTTTTTTTTTCCCTTTTCTTCAAGGTCATAGAGAAAAATGTATCAATATCTGTAGTCAGAATGCTCTCTTCTAGATTAAGCATATCTAAATCCTTTACATTTCTTCAGAAACCATATTTTCTAAAAATATTATATAAATTAGTGCAAGCCTTATGTCATTGCAAAGTCCTTTTTGCTACAATAACCCAAGGCACTACTCAAAAAGTAGGTTGCAGTAATCTTGTAGAGAATGCTCTGCCCTCCTGTCATATATCTATCAGCCATCATCAGGTACTTAGTACCTACTTTTTATTCCATAATAAAAAAGCTATAAAAATGTACAAGAAAGTCTGCATTTTTATGTTCTCTCTACAGATATACCTTGTCAACATGGAGCTGAACTGTGAGAGTATTTGAGGAAGCTGGAAATGAACATAACAGATTTTTGCCATTTTGTATATCAGAAAATTACTTTGACCTCTTCAGAGACTGTTCTCAGAATTAAACATGTTTAAAAGCCACAAGCTAATAAAAACCATATTACCCTTCAGGAATATGTCCCACAACTTCTAGCCCGTAGACGTATTCCATATCAGCATAGTAGCAAGCAACGGATGTAGCAATTATCTATTGATTCAACACAGAAAAATATGTTATGTTTCCATTGCTTTTAGCTCCTCACATGGTAACTATTATTGCCATACCTAACCAGTATTCTTGCATTTATCCTTAGATCAATCCAGTAAGAGAGGGAAGTATTATTATGAAAATTTTTATAAAAGTGGAAGAGACTCAGAAGAAACTAAGATCTGGACACAATAATGAATTTAGAGGAGGTGGCTGAAGAAGGACTGTGGTGGAGTTTGTATGTTCTGTGTTAATGAAAGGGATTTGTACAAGTCTCTGTAAAGCCTCAGGAACCTTGCCAATCAGTGTCCAAATTGCCTCTATGCAGAGTGCACCCCAGACCACTTCCATTTATGTGAGCAGGTTAAAATAATTAATAATTTAGGTGATCCTGAGCTGTCTGATTCACCTGGTGTTCTCTGAGCACATCTCCAGAATGGAAGTGTCAACTTTGGCACAAAACACAGCAGAAGATGTGGCTTCCTTTTATTTTTATGTTTCAGCAGGTATAAATCTTGCTGAGGGGGTGGAAATTTTGGCTCTGAGGAGCTTCAGACTTACTCCCCATACTTTTTATGAGATAAACACACAAATTCCAATAGAACATGCACAGGTTCCAGTCCATGATCCTCATTTTCCAGGTACATTTTACCCAGTATTTTTTAGAAATAGATCTTAGAGCAGAGACCAAAACCATACTACTACCTTTTTCCACCATTTTGCCCAAGAAAAAATATTAATTTGAAAATAATTTTTTCCAGCAAAAGAAGAGTGGTTGTGACTATTCACTCTGAAAAGCACTTGCCCTTCATTTTTTGAAATTTCTTTCAGAGATCTAGATGAAAAAAAAAAAAGAAGTCTCTTGTCCTGGCGCTGATTATTTGACTACAGCTTAATCCTTAAAGCGAGGATTTACAAAGCAATAGCTAATTTCAGTTTACCTTATGCCATGTGAAAGCAAAAGTGTAAGTAAAATTACAGAAAGAAATAGTATAACTATTTAATTTTGTTGCAGATAAATAACACGCAACATCTAAGCCACAACTGCCCAGCACAAGATTTTCTGGAGCTACAATGTGCCAGTCACTTTTCATTTTCTATTTCAAACTTCTTACACTTTAATATTCTAGCTTTTGTGTTCTTGTGATTATGTAAAAAGTACTAAACACATGAAAAATATTACACTAATTAAGAACTTACGTCACTTCTTTCCTAATTATTTTACCAAACTGTTTCCTGTCCTTACATTTAACATACAGCCATGAAAGTCAGCTATCCATTTAATAAGTGGCAGGTGGAGGGGGGGGGCCTAACTGAGGAGAACATAGTCAACTTCAGTAGACTATTTGAACCACTGAAAGCTTTGTAAGCAGAAAATCTGATAATTGATTTTGTACTTACCAAAAGTAGATCAATGGGAAGAACAACTTTGATGTTTCTCTGAAATTTCTCATTCAGTTCTTTAACAAGAACAAGCACCACAATGCTCAGCAAGGAGAGAAGTGAAGCCTCCAACTGAACTGATCTGATGTTCTCAAATATGTAGGCATAAATCTACAGTGAACAGCAAATAACAGTCACAGATCAAAAATACGTCATTTTGGGTCTATGCTGTGGCATATTCTACACAACTTCAGACTTCTTAAATAATCTGTGAAACCTGAATCAACACTGCAGGAGCTGACTCATCTGACTAACTGGCCTACACTTCAGATTTTGCAAGGATTAAAATAATCTCTGGATTTTTGAAAACAAAAAACGTAGTGAATATTTCTGTATATGAATTTACAGATTTCTACTGGTAGAAGTAAGCAAGAATATTCCAGTGAATGTGTTGTGTATCTTTTTTTTTATCCAGTTTCATTGAATTCAGTGAGATCAACGAGTGTTGCACAAAAATGTTGAGTAGCTTCCATGCATAAAGATTTATTTTCAATGTCCATCAATCCTAATAGTAATAGTTAATTCTGAGGAAAAAAAAACCTAAAAGACAGAAAGAAGAAGGAAAGAGAAGAATGAAAAGGGAAATTAAAATGCAGTAGTGGTTGGATGGGAATTGAAGCAACAGGAATCTTCCTAGGTGAGTATCCTCTTCTGGACATCTTCACCAGTGCCTGAAGGGGTCCATACAAATATTTTTCCAGCGTAATTATATAGTTTCAGCAGGGTGTATTCAGTCTCTGTGTTTGTTGCTCTTGCCCATTACACAAACAGTGGTCCATGGGGCATGCTCTGATCAGGTCCAGATGCTGCACACACTAGTTAGCTGCTAAGCTTGTGTATATATGGTTTGGGCTATTTAAATATCTAATGTTATCTACTAAGCCCTGTTTCTTTCTCTAGCATAAACTTCTAAGTAAAAAGCTGCAAAGCAAGAGGTAAAAAGAGTATAGGGGAAGAAGAAGTAATTCACAAATTAGTGGCAAGCACTTTCCAAGAGAAACTCTCCATGGCAAGATGCAGGAATTGCTGGTGTAATGATGTCGGGGTGGTACATGCAGCTCCACGAGTTTCCAAGTCCTGCCACAGTGGGATGTTCATCCCACAAGTTTCCATGTCTATCCTGCTCTGGGAGGTTGGGGAATGGCAACAGGGCTGCACATGAGAGGCAGACTGCAGTGTTAAAAGAGAAAAAGAAGACTGGAGCAGAGCTATGGAGCTGCAAATTGGAGGCCTTCAGCTTTTCAAAGGTTAAGGTGTGGTGTAACATGCTGTAAAACATGGTCATAAGAATATGGTTTGGTCTGTGATGAAGAACGTAAATATGGTGTTGAGTATAAGGAACATGGAGAATAGAAATATGAGATAGGAATATAATGACCAATGGTGATAAGTGACAGGGAACTCTGATGATGAATACAATGCTGTAAGTAACAGGCTCAGAAGAACGCTGTTGTCTTCACATCAGCACGGATGACACCATGAATTGTAACTTCAGTTCTGCTCTGAATTTGAGGGTCCAGAAAATGAGGCATAAACCAGTATGATAACAGATTCACAGAAAGTAATGAAAAAATTTACAAGTCTACTGGAATGGTTAGAAGGGATGAAGAAAGTTGGAGGGAACTTCAGTCCCAATACACAAAGAACCAGTCAGACTCCTGTCAAACATCATTTTCAGGGTTCACTGAACAATCCTAGCAGAAATACATAAGTATTAAAACAACTAGTACATCAGACTAAAGAGCTTCCACTGTCTATTCTGTCCTTAAGTAACCATGCCCTGAAAATGCAGTAAAACTAGGAGACCATTTAACAAAACACACAGGCTTTTTAGAAAGAAAGAGAATGTGGCTCTTAACTTGTACATGGTTAACATATATTGTAGCCATCTCTCTATACTATACCTTTTACATGTTTTACTGCCCAGTCAGTCACTGTACTCATCGAGGTCAAAGTGTAAATCGTACATGTAAGCACCTAAAGGTTGTAAAAGCACTGGCATCTGATTCAAAAGAAGTATTTACAAATGTTTTCAGCACAAACATCATTATGAATTCAGTATTTCACATATTTTGATGACGCATTTACTGGAATAATTTAGAAATTATGTAGCAAAATTTACTTTGACATTGCAGTGTACAAAGGAATTTTTTGTGTCATTATATAAACAACAAAATTTTAAAATGCAGCAATAATATAGTAACTGAGCTGTATATCTATTTTTTAAAAATTTTTGTTGCTAGTTTTGTGTGAAGATTTTTAATGGGCACAATCTGGCAATATTATGAAGGGAAACCGAACTTTTTGATAATTGATGTAAGTTTGCGCACGAGTGAAAAAAGCAATATTCTAACTACACACATATACATACAGACACTGATTGTCTCATGGGAAATTAATGGCTTTGAGTTCCACTGTATGAGTAGACAACCTCACTGCATTTTTAAAAATGTTTCATTGTGATGTTTGTTAGAAAAATACAAGACACTGGGGAAAAAAAAAAAGTACAGGCAACTGCTGTGAACCGTATCCGATAAAAAATTGTGGGGGAAAAAAAAGGACTGATAGTGGGAACATGAACGTTTATTCAGACAGTTACAGAAAAAAAAAAAAAAACAAAAGGATTTTGCAACAAACTTGCAACACAACCACAAAAGACCCCATTTTGTAGAGCAGGTTTCTTATGCTGCAGTTCATTTTGCAGTGTTGCATTTTTTCAAAAACTTCTGGAAGGATAAATATCTAGACTTGGATAAAGGGCAACTATAGATATGTTTTAGTTATTTCAGATACTAAGTTACTTCTTCACCTTCACCTTGCCTTTCCCATTTGCAAAGTACCAATTGATGCTGTAATTTGCTGCTTAATTGCAGTGTGACAAACCATGTACAGAGAAAATTAAATTTAATAAATTACATAAACTATGTATAAACAGAAGAATCCCATAGGCTCAATGCCAGTGTAGTATATTTGTTCTCCATATGCAAAATTCACTTTTACATGATCTCAGTTGCTATAAAGAATCCACTTAACTGGGTTGCTTTACTTTCAACTCTCCTGTCACACTGTATTAAACATTCTTAGTCTTGCTTTGCGAACTCAAAGGCTGCCTGAGGCAAAGCAATCAGCTTTGTGAGTGGGAGGTGGTTTGGAGTAGAGAAAGGATAAAAATGTAAGCAAAAATACCGGTCTTTGAGTTTCAAGAATCTGGAGTAAAGAACATGTCTGGATAGACATGCTAAATTTGCCTTTCACTCTCTGATTGCATGTGTGCACTAACATATATCTGATTAGTATAATTTTCATATAAAACTACCACCACAGATAAAAATTACTCTTAAAACTTAAATTTGATGTTTCTGACTGAGGTATTGGGACTTTTTTAAGAAACCCTTGCATCTGAAAACATACCAGAAATCTTTTAAAATACTTGTATGGTAAAATTGTCCATTCTAACTGTGGAAAGTTTATTATTCTTTTAAGTTATTGGGCTTTGTTTGTTCATTTGTTTTTACACAATCATACAGAGCAATTCAGAACCTTAAAAAAAGCAGGAAAATTTTTACTTGGAAAGTGTTCAAAGGGAGTTGATTTCAAATGTGAAGTGTAGGGCTAAGAACTTCTTTCAGATACATTAAAAAATACAAGGGATAAGGGAATATATTTATGTGAAAGCATTTGAATGACCTCATTTATGATATCATCAGCACACTAGCATGTATATATTTTTTTTGCATCACTGCTCTTCTTTATTATTGCTCATAATGTGTATTTTGATTATGTCTTGGCTGTAGTACTTAACACTAGCCACCTCTACAAGATGAGAATATTCCTATGTGTAAATATAGTCTCCATGGAAACACCACAAAAAAGAGGCTAGTCACATTTTATATTAACAAGTATTTATGAAAAGGCTTTTAAGTAATTTTTTTTGTAATATATGATGAACTGCTTGTAATAGTCTCACAGGCCAACCAACTACTCATGAAAACAGCTATGACACTTTTATCTGTGTCCCTCCAAGATAAATTACTTGTGTTTATGAAATGCCCTAATTCTCATTAATAAATTGCTCCTATAAAAAACTTACCAGTGGATTATCCATAGAAAATGTTATCGAGTTTATAAGATGCTGTGAAATAATAAACTAAAAGCAACATCTTATCATGGAGTTCACATTAACAAACTTCAAAAAATAGTAAGACAGGATAAAGGGTGGAGCAGTGCAAGAAAATATAGTCTCTAATTTTAAACAGGATGTTCTGATTTAGTGGCTAACTAGATAAAGCCTCACTTTGTGTGGTAATCAATTAATTTCGTGCTATCAGCTCAAAGAAAATATCACCTCGGCAAGTAAATAAAGCATTATTACGAACAAATCATATTTTTGACAGATACTACTGTGATACTGTTAATGCTTCTGCCAAGAGATTATGCTCACAGCACCTAAACTCAGAGTTTGCTGTAAGAAGTTACCATAAAGAACATGTTCTCAAAGCTTTTGTGCCATAAGATTATGCAACTTTGCCCTTCAGAGTTTCAGCCAACAATATCTACTTTCCAAAGGGAGTAACTATGATACTCTATGAAAGGCTGTATGCATTTTATAAAAATTACCTTAAAGCTGTACACTTGCTGTATTTATGGCAAAGTAATATCATGTCATAAAGCAGTATGTAATGTATCTAGGGTAATTTTTGCATAGGAAATGCACAAATCATGGGTCATTTTTCTTTTACCACAATGATGGGCAGGTTTCATTCAGTAAAATATGAAGAAAATATGTTTGTAATGATATTTGGGTATATCCCTCCCACATCCAGAAAGAGTTAATCCTCCCTGTATAAGTGTGTTATTGCTCAGGATAATAAATAACATTATTGATGCTGTAATACACCTATTTTTAATTTATTACTGTATCCTTTCAAAACAAGACCCATTGCTGCTTGTTCTTCATCAAGTTTTCCTAATCTGTTCTTACAAACAGAAAGTTGAAGGTTTTGTTATTACATTTTCTGTTCATTCACATGCAGAACAAGTTTACCATAGTTATGAAAATGTTAGCTGATGGAATTGCCCATCTCTTTGACTGAACCCACATGAAAAAATCCCAGTGGTCCCGATATATATGGCATCTTCATTCCCAGCAGATACTTCACTTGCGATGTCACCACATGGGTAGCTGCTCCTGTTGTCATTGCGCTTATCACTGGTTCTGTTAACAAGAAAGTGGCACTGCCCAACTGCAGCAGAAACATTGCTACCTAAAAGGTGAATAGAATATCTGTATAAAATCAGAATATTTAAAATAGGAAGAAAAATTCAACGTCTAATTTCGTAATCTGATTTACAGATATGATTTCTCTGGTAGAAAAAAAAGTAGACTTTGACTCAGCTATACTTGACTTTGAAGATTATTTCAGCTTTGTTGTAACTTCTACGGAAGTTATGTCAGAGTACAGGCATATAATAAAAGAATAAACTAAACCAGGAATCTGGACTACAGCTGAATCTACAAATGTTTAGAGACTTCATAGAAATATAGGACAAATACCCAGAGCACTATTGTGTACTACTGTGTTGTCTTCTCTTATCTCAGACTGCAATCATTGTTCCTCTGAAGAATGAGATTTGACAGCTCTTAACTTTTTGAACCAGGTTGTCACATACCTACAGATGCTACTGTGGTTAGCATAACACTTAATCCTTTTCTGATCCATATTAAGATATTAAGTTACATTTAAATCATCTCCACTTAAAATGAGTTCTGCAAATTCATCAGATTAAAATGCAGTTTCTTACTTCTACAGTCCGTTGCATTTACTGTTCTTCTGCCTGAGAAGTTACAAGCTTATGGCACAGGGTTGTTGGTTACAGTACATTCTAAAAGGTTTTGTGTTTACCATAATAAAAATCACCCTTTTGGAATATATTACAGCATCCTTTGTTTTATTTTGTTCATTTCCATACGTTATCATTCTTTATGCCCGAAGACCATTTATTTTTTCACCATAAATCTCACCTGTATGCAGTAAGCTATGAATATAATAGCACACTAAAGAAACAAAAATACCAAAGTGAGTGGCTTTTAATTTACTACAAAAATCTCTAGTGAGCAATTTCCTCTTCCATCTGAAAGATTAAATTTGTCATTTTTTTCCGCTTTCCCACTAGTAGCATGTGAACGGCTCTGTACTGTGAACAATCAGAACACTGAATGTCATTCAAAATTGGACCCTAATAATGATTACTGTTACACCTTCAATTAGTAGTAATTTTAGCTAGTCAGGTGTAAAACTGATAACTACCACCTTCGGATATTTTTGTTCAGTTGTTTGTTCTAACAATTTACCTATTAATTTATTTAAAACAATGTTCAGAGTAGCAAAGTTCAATAGGAAACAAATTCTCCCTTCCCTAGTGAATTTTTGTTTGTTCTCTAAGACGAGTTTGTACTGTGTGATAGCTAAGTTTCCAGAGAATAAGATGGATGTTTATTTAGCTGTGGATTCAAAACCAGATACAATTTGGTGAAGTACATAGTATCACAGAAAAACTATTAGTTAATATTAGCATTTTGGAGAAAGATATTATGGTGAATTACATGGTTACCAAACTTAGCAATTTCAGCATCATTCACATTTATTTTCATTTTTTTACTTAAACTCTTCAGTATTTTGGACAGACATGACTCTGCTTCACAGGTAGTAGTAACTGAAAGGTTACATTTCAGACGTACTTTTTATTGTTTGTTTATAATGATGGGTTATGTAAAACACACTCAAACCAGGAGTATAGTTTCAGGTAGATATTTTCAGAAGCCACTCAGTTAAACAGGCAGCAGCCTATACTTGTCCCTCATCTCTTACTGCAGAAGGTCACTCAAGACTTCCAGAAACAATGGCAACCCTTCATGAGCATGTACATCCTACTCTTAATTTAAATTATAGTTAAATATAATGTACATCCATACATCTTCTATGGTGAAGATCTAACAATGCAGCAACCAGAACAGAAAATATCCAAGGAAGAGAGTGTAATTTTCAGCATAATCTAGTATGGGAAACTCCTGCTGACCTTGCAACATGAGTAATGTGCAGAAACTGTCTAGATGAAAAGGGGGTAAAAAGTTGGTTTGAAACAAGCTTCCCAAATCAAGTTGCATGTCAGTTTTCTTGATAAATATACTCAATTTTTTTAGCATCTTTATAGACCTAGATCAACTCTCCAGTTAACTCTCCATGCTTGGGAACAGACATACAGCTCACAGCTTGGCTGCCACTGGTTTTTGCATAAGCACCATTTGAAACTAAGCTGAGCTGACAGCACACAACTGCATCACATTGCATTATGTCATAAAATCTTTCACCCACTAAGCAGTGACCAAAATGTAGAAAGTTAAAGAAACATAAAGAAGTTTCTTTCTCCTTGCTTTCTCCTTGCTGTGGTTGTGATCTGAGCTTCCCATCTTATTTTCTGATATATTAATGAAGAAAAACTACAGGGAAAACTGACAGTTAAGTGTCTGAAGAGCAAAAATATAAAGTACAAAAAAGACCCACCAAATGCAAATTCTTTCCTCATTTAGTTGTTTGTACTATTATGGAGCTTTTCTTAAACTGTAAAAGGAACAAAAATATTCACTTATTTTAGAATTACTTGAAGAATTTTTAATTTTTCAAAGTTTAGGTCCTAGGGGATGAAGGAATATTTCAGACAGAGAACAGTCATGATTATAACAATGGTTTGAAATGTGTGTGGCTACAGTTTCTTTGTACAGCTTTTTTCAGGGCAACACATTGTGTTAAAGGGCTCATTAAGAAGTAACTATCTTGAGAAAGTAAGGGAATGAAGCCTTGAGTTAATGTACAGTAAAGCAGAAAAGATCTCAGAAATAAATTATAAAACCAAATAATTAGACAGAAGTAGTGAAAAGCGTGACAAAAAAACAAAAAAAAAAAAAAAAAACAAAAAAAACAAACCTAAACTTGAGAATAGAAAAAGATAATGCAAAGGGAATCTTTTGTTGCAGCTGTCTTTACTGGTGCATAACTTTACCCTGACAAGCAGAAGAAAAGAATGAAGATTTAATCAAGAAGATAAGAAACAAATAATTGCAAAAAACAAAGTCCTCATGTTCAAGTCTTTTTGGTTCTTGTCCAGTTGCAATACTTTCTTCCCATGACAACGCACTCAGTTTATTATTGTTAAAATTCCACTCCCACTGTTCAGACAATCTGACTTTATGACCAGCAAAATTTTTTCTCACATAACAGGCACTTTGCAAATCACTAATCTCAAACTTTTTGTCTACAGCAATAGAAAGGCTGGTATCATGTTACCTGCTGCATTAATTCAGTTTTGGAGCATGAATTTTAAATCTCTCAAAACTCCATGTTCTATTTTTCACCATTAAACCAAACAAACAGTGGTGGTATATGTCCTGACAATTTGCTACATGGGCTAAAAAGGTCAGCCATGGGGAATATCTCTTGGAAGGAACTATTACTGACTGTGAAACTCTCATTTAGCATGTTGTCTTGGTTATCTCAAAACTGGAGGTTCCAAATTTATTTTCCAGATAACCAGATATATTTTTTTTTCCAATACTGTACATCAGTAACTAATTATATGCAAGTTTTTAAAATACAGTAGCTGAAAAACTTACCAGTAAAAATGTAGAAGACTGGAATGAAATAACCAGACATTTCTCATTTACAGAAGAGTAGCACAACTGCAGTCAGTAATACTGCAGTTCTTAAGAGAATACAACTTTCATTCTAGGATAAAAATTATATTTTTGTCACTTTGATGTTGAAACAGCTTTCCTCTATTTATTCAGCAAATTCAATATTGAATTGCAGTTTGGTGTGTTGGTGTTTTGTATACACACATATTTATGAAAGTGTTCTTGCACATGTAATAGACCAATTAAAAAACAATAATCTTACCCAAAAGCTTTTTTTGAGGATTGTTTTTTATGCTATAAAGTCTTGTGGTTTGAGGTTTGGAATGGGGG